GTCAGGGTGATTGCTGGGTGCTAGCAGAGATAACAGCCTAGAACTGGAAGCCCCTCAACTGTCTTCGGGTCCGGATATCCCCAGCTGATGTGGACAGACTCCTCCGAGCTGGAAAGCCCACCACCTGTCCTCTTGACCCGTGCCCGTCTTGCTTGATTAGAGCATGCCCAGACGAGGTGCGGGCCCCCCTAGGGGATATCATCAATTTGTCCCTTGGCACCGGGACATTCCCAGGGGAACTGAAGGAGGCAGTGGTGCGCCCGCTCTTAAAGAAAACATCATTAGATCCCTTAGATCTATGAAATTACCGCCCGGTTTCAAATCTTCCATTCCTGGGTAAGGTGATTGAGAGAGTGGTTGCTGAACAGCTTGGTGGGTTTCTGGATGAAACATTGGCTCTGGATCCATTCCAGTCCGGCTTCCGCGCTGGTCATGGGACCGAGACGGCTCTGGTCGCCCTAACAGATGATCTCCGCAGGCAGCTGGATCGAGGCGGGTCGGGGCTGCTGATTCTTCTAGACCTGTCAGCAGCCTTCGACATGGTCGATCACAAATTCCTGGACCACCGCCTTGCCGATGTGGGGATCCAGGGCACAGTCCTTCAATGGCTGCGCTTGTTTCTCTCTGGTTGGGGACAGAGGGTGGGGCTTGGGGGGTAATTGTCATCGTGCTACTCCTTGGTGTGTGGAGTGCCTCAGGGTGCGATACTCTCCCCGATGCTTTTCAACAACTTTATGCTCCCTCTCGCCCAGCTTGTCCGGAGTTTTGGGCTGGGTTGTCATCAGTATGCTGATGACACCCAACTCTATCTGTTGATGAATGGCCATCTTGACTTGGCCCCAGACACACTGATCACATGTTTGGAAGCTGTGACTGGATGGTTACGTGGGAGCCGGTTGAAGTTAAATCCTTCGAAGACAGAGGTCCTTTGGCTGGGACGGGACGATATGGGATGGGGGGGGGGCAACTCCCATCTCTTGCGGGGGTGCAATTAGTGCCAGCACCGTCCGTTAAGAGTTTGGGTGTAATCTTCGACATCTCCCTTTCCATGGAGGCGCAGATTGCATGTCGAAGGCTGCTGACAAAGGCGGCATTTTTTCATCTCCGCCAAGCTAAGCAGTTGGCTCCTTACCTCTCTCGCCCTGACCTAGCCACTGTGATCCACGTGACGGTCACCTCCAGACTGGATTATTGTAACTCGCTCTACGTGGGGCTGCCCTTGAGACTGACCCAGAAACTCCAGCAGGTGCAGAATGCCGCGGCAAGACTCCTTACGGGGTCCTCGCTGCGAGATCACATTCACCTGGTGCTTTACCAGCTGCACTGGCTCCCGGTGGAGTACAGGATCAGGTTTAAGGTGCTGGTTTTAACCTTTAAAGCCCTATACGGCCTAGGACCCTCGTACCTACGGGACCGCCTCTCCTGGTATGTCCCACAGAGGAACTTACGGTCTTCAAACAAAAACATCTTGAAGGTCCCAGGCCACAGAGAGGTTAGGCTGGCCTCAACTAGAGCCAGGGCTTTTTCAGCTGTGGCTCCGATCTGGTGAAACGCTCTGTCTAGGGCCCTGCGGGACTCGACATCTTTCTGCAGGGCCTGCAAGACAGAGCTGTTCCACCAGGCCTTTGGTCAGGTCACAGCCTGACTCCCTGCTTTGGCAATCTTCACAGAACTCTACCCCAATGGTTGCCATCAATTTGATTTGAATTAATTTTATAATGAAATGATTTTAGAATGTTGTACTATTTTATTGTAGGGATGCGGGTGGCGCTGTGGGTAAAACCTCAGCGCCTAGGACTTGCCGATCGCAAGGTCTGCGGTTCGAATCCCCGCGGCGGGGTGCGCTCCCGTCGTTCGGTCCCAGCGCCTGCCAACCTAGCAGTTCGAAAGCACCTCCGGGTGCAAGTAGATAAATAGGGACCGCTTACCAGCGGGAAGGTAAACGGCGTTCCGTGTGCTGCGCTGGCTCGCCAGATGCAGCTTGTCACGCTGGCCACGTGACCCGGAAGTGTCTGCGGACAGCGCTGGCTCCCGGCCTATAGAGTGAGATGAGCGCACAACCCTAGAGTCTGGCAAGACTGGCCCGAACGGGCAGAGGTACCTTTACCTTTACTATTTTATTGTTGTTAGCCGCCCCGAGCCCAGCTTCGGCTGGGGAGGGCGGGATATAAATAAAATTTATTATTATTATTATTATTATTATTATTATTATTATTATTATTTGTTCTTAACAGAAGATCATTTACTGTCCAAATCGAGTCGATATGGCCTGCAGATTAATTGGGTTTTAAGAAATGTGTATACTCTCTCCCTAATGGATGTTTGAATCTCCAAACATCCGTCAATTAAAATTCTCAACCTTGGTTGGTTTGAAGAAAGTAACAGGTAGTCTCCCTTCCTTATAATTAATTTTCTTTTTTATTCTGTCCATATCCGGTGAGACCACCCCATTCAAATTTCCCAGCAAAATCATTTTTTGGTCCATAAACTCATTTTCTCTTCTATAAAATTCCAATTTTCTCTCATTTGGTGCATATATTCCCACAATCACCATTTTTTCTCCTTGGGACATCACCTGAACAACTATCACTCTTCCCTGAACAACTATCACTATTTCTCGCCACATCTCTTGCAAACATATCCAATTTTTTTTCTTTAACATATATTCTGTTTTTCTTTTTCTTTTTATCATTTAGTCCAGGGGTCTGCAACCCGCGGCTCCGGAGCCGCATGTGGCTCTTTTACACCTTTGCCGCGGCTCCGGGGCGGATACTAGAGAGGGGAGGAGGCACATTGTGTGCCCCGACACTCCCCACTGTGGCGGGCACTGTACTGGCTGTGACGTCGCATGGGGGCGGTGCGTGCGTTAGTCACGCACCGTCCCGACGTCACCTTCCCACCCGCTGTCAGATCGGAGGGCAGCGGCGCGCATGCTTTAAATGTCGCAATGGTTTTGCGGCTCCCAGTTGTTGTTTTGTTCGGAAACGGGTCCAAGTGGCTCTTTTTGTCTTAAAGGTTGCAGACCCCTGATTTAGTCCATTTACATTTCACATTAAAATTTTCAGCTCCATCTTCCTTTAATTTTTTAATTTATCAAAAAATTAAATACAAATTAAATCTTCTTGTACATTATTTTCACCTTTATTTCCTCCACTACAGCCTCCAACCACTTCTTCAATTCTTCTTCAGGTCTCTTCCCTCCTCATTCTTTTTGATATCTTCTCCAAAACTTATCTGCTTCTGCCGGGTCTCTGCGTCTGTACTTTTGACCTTTATATTTTAAGACGTATCCTCAAGACTCTTGTGTTTTTTTCTTTAAGTCCTGTACTGATTTTTCCAAAACTGTTGTTTTTGTTGACAGTTCTTTTATCTAAACAAAAAAAATTCCTTCCAGTAGCACCTTAAAGACCAACTAAGTTCTTTTATCTGTACAGATATGTCCTCCATCTTTCCATCCATTTTCGTCTCAAGAGCCTTAGTTTGTTCCCTAATGTCCTTCTTCAGATCTAAAATTAAATCTGCAATTTCAGTCTTACGATCTGTATCCTGAGCAGATCCTCTTCTTCCTTGAGATAATATTAATAATAATAATAATAATAATAATAATAATAATAATAATAATTTATTTATACCCTGCTCTCTCTGGCCAGAGCCGGGCTCAGGGCAGCTAACACCAGTAAAATTACAATAAAAACATAATAGGGAAAATACAATTTAAAATACAGGTTAAAAATAGAATTTAAAATGCAGCCTCATTTTAATAATAACCCATAGATCAAAACCATAAGGGGAGGGAAACATAAGTGTCAGACTGAGTCCAAACCAAAGGCCAGGCGGAACAGCTCTGTCTTGCAGGCCCTGCAGAAAGATGTCAATTCCCGCAAGGCCCTAGTCTTTTGTGACAGCATTCCACCGAGTCGGGGCCAGTACTGAAAAGGCCCTGGCCTTAGTTGAGACCAATCTAACCACCTTGTGACTTGGGACCTCCAAAATGTTGTCATTTGTGGACCTTAAGGTCCTCCGCAGGGCATACCAGGAGAGGCGGTCCCGTAGGTACGTAGGTCCTAGGCCGCATAGGCCTTTAAAGGTCAAAACCAGCACCTTAAACCTGACCCTGTACTCCACCAGGAGCCAGTGCAGTTGGTAAAGCACTGGATGAATGTGATCCTGTGGCAAGGACCCCGTAAGGAGCCTCGCCGCAGCATTCTGCACCTGCTGGAGTTTCTTGGACAGCTTCAAGGGCAGCCCTGCATAGAGCGAGTTATAATAATCAAGCCTGGAGGTGACCGTCGCATGGATCACTGTGGCCAGATCAGGGCGAGAAAGGTAAAGGACCAACTGCTTAATACGGCGGAGATGGAAAAATGCCACCTTTGCTGTGGCTGCAACCTGCACCTCCATGGAAAGGGAGGTGTCGAAGGTTACACCCAAGCTCTTGACAGAAGGCACTGGCACTGATTGAGCCCCTGCAAGAGATGGGAGTTGGCCCCCCAACCCCATGTCGTCCCGACCCAGCCAGAGGACCTCTGTCTTTGAAGGATTTAATTTCAACCAGTTCCCACGCAGCCATCCAGCCACAGACTTCCAAGCATCTGGTCAGTGTGTCCGGGGCCGAGTCAGGGCGGCCGTCCATCAACAGATAAAGCTGGGTGTCATCAGCATATTGATGACAACCCAGCCCAAAGCTCTGGACAATCTCAACAAGGGGGCGCATAAAGATATTGAAAAGCATCAGTGAAAGGATTGCGCCCTGCGGGACTCCACACACCAAGGTGTGCCGCGGCAACAACTCCCTCCCTAGAGCCACCCTCTGTCCCCGACCTGAGATAAAGGAGCACAGTCATTGTCAGACTGTGCCCTGAATTCCCACGTCGGCAAGGTGGTGGTCCAAAAGTTCGTGATCGGCAATGTTGAAGGCTGCTGACAGGTCTAAAAGAATCAGCAGTTCTGACCCACCTCAATCCAGCTGCCTGTGGAGATCATCTGTTAGGGCGACCCAAGCCGTTTTGGTCCCATAACCAGGGCAAAAGCTGGACTGAAATGGGTCCAGAATTGGTGTTGTTGTTCAGCTTCCTGCTCCAGACGGTGGTTTATTTGCTGCCATGTTTATTTTTTTATTCTTATATCCTTTATTATTATTGTCCTGTGTCGTTTCTTCCAACCTCAATACTTCACCTCCTATCTCCCCTCCCTATATCTAATGGATGAAATAGCTAGGTATAGAGGAGGTATTCCAAAAATATAGTCAGGTCTGTGTAATAGCTCCTTCTAACTACTAGGTGGCTTCCCTATTCTTTCTCTCCTTCCCCTTCCCCCTCATCTCTGTCAGCCTTTGTCTCAGACTGCTCTTTTTAACTTCTCAGTCTGCCTGCAGTAATAATAATAATAATTTTTTATTTATACCCCGCCCTCCCCAGCCAAGGCCGGGCTCAGAGCGGCTTACAAGCAATAATAAAAACAAGAAGAATGATTACAACTTAAAAACAAAAATAAAATACAACATTAAAATAATGGAACATTAAAATATTAAAATGTAGATAAGGAGTCCTGTTCTCAAAAAAAATTTGTTTTCCTGACCAAAGTCCTGGATGTTAATTGTAATCCACAAGGGGGGTAGATTCAGTTGAACAATACTGGTAAATATAAGGAAAATGTAAAAACGGTAAAAGTAATCCAATCTATCAAACAGGAAATATACAAAATATTATCTTCAGTTCTTCTACGCCTAATCCAATTTTCACCCCAATCGCTGGGAAATGGGGGAAGTGGAGTTACCTCCACCAAACAGGGCAACGTATTACCAGAAACAAAGCAAAAAGAAAAATAGTATTTCAACTCCCAGTTGAGTCTAATCCACTTTTTGCTGATTCTCCTTACACACGGTTCCACAGGAAAAAGGAAACTGTTTTACACTGACACATAGAGACTATAGCTTTGCCCATGGTTTCAACCTTATATCCATTGTTTTAAAAGTCACTTTCTGCTGGGTATTCTAATAAAAGACACTGTTCATTTCGCTCCACAAACTTTTTAATAGATAAGGCACCCTTGAGGCATGGTGAGGCAACTGCCTCAGGTGGCAGGATCCCCAGGAACAACTGGTCGTGATGTAGATATTTATTCACACTTATTCCTGATGCAAATCTTCACTCTCACTTTCTTCCCTGGCGGGGAGCGGAGCACCAGTTTGTGGTTCACCTCAGGTGCCAAAATGTATTGGACCAGCTCAAGGGGTTCTTCATTGGGCAACTCAGCTTGGAGGTAAAAAATGCATAAATCTGGGAGTCTTTAGCCTGTCTTCCCCACAACATCATACCAGCTTTGGCATGGTTTTCTGTGCTATGGAAGCTTTTCTGTACTGCCTATTGCCCACAGGCAGGCCAGCGGCATCAAGTCCTTCAGCAGCTGCAGTATAAAAGATTTCCGGAATTTTCTGGAGTCCGGAGCATCGCAGTGCCTCTTGAACAAGCCACGCATGGATCTCATGTACAGAGCCCCCTACTGCGGAAACAAAGTGGTGGAAGACGGGGAGCAGTGTGACTGTGGCACAGCAAAGGTTTGTTAGAAAGAGAAGCCAGAAAGAAGAGCAAATAAAGGAGAGCGAGCTAATGGTGACTTAAATAAGCCACATCTGTGCCTTCTCAGTGGTGTTCCCCTGTTTGCGGAATGCACTCTTAGTGAGGGCCTCAATCTCCCTCGTTATTAACTTTTAGGAAAAAATTTAAAACATTCCTCCTGTTCACCTGAAGGAAGGTGAGGACAGGTGACCTCACCTAGGCCCGAAGTCACCCCCCCAAGCAGGCTCAAAGCTTCTCAGATCTTTTCAAAATCATTTTTCTCAGCAGCTAAAAGGCATTAGCTAAGCATCAGAAACATTCCGCTTGCTGTAACTAAAAAGATTGCAACAAGGTAGAGAACAGAGCCCATTGTCTTCTCAGGCCTTTCTCAGAACCACATTGCAACTTGCTTTCTCTCCGGGAACCATGCCAAAGCACAAGAATGAAACAACGGGAACACTCTGAAAACCCCCTCACCCCCTTTCCTGCCAAGAGTCCACAATAGTCCCAAGACAGCTTTCTGTTCATGCTCAGAGGAACTCAGGGGCAGGACTCCTGAGGGAGGAGAAAGGAGGAGGGAACTAGAAGGGTATATATGCTTGTGCACATGATTGTGAACTCGTGCATGCTTTTGTGGACTATCACACTTGCTCCTTCTACCAGTTCATGGATGGTAGAAATAAACCTTTTTCTCCGAAACTATTCCTTGAGTGTCTGTTGACTCCCACTTCCCTTTCCCAGGCGCAATATTTTTCCCACCCGAGGGCAAAGCCTCATAAGGCTACATTTCCACTTCCCTTTCCCAGGCGCAATATTTTTCCCACCCGAGGGCAAAGCCTCATAAGGCTACACACCCAGACATTTGATCGCTGAAATATCTGTCCTTAGCAGCCTAGAAGTGATTAGTTTTGAGAATTGCTTATTGCTTTTAAGAGTTTTAAAGGATTTTTTTTTTTAAAGTTCTAATAGTATTGTTTTAGCATTGACATGTTTGCCATGCTGGGATCCTTTGGTGGAAGGTTGAGAAAACAAATGTAATAAATAAATGAAACATGAAAAATAAATGTTTTTATATACAGTTAACTTGTCACTCAGTGCCTTTCTTTCATCATGAAAACCAAGACAGTTCCTAGGCTGTTTCGCATCCAGACACTGACTAGACTCACATGAGCATAGCCCCCCCCCCGAATACACCCATGCAGACACAGTTCCCCTTCAGTGGGAGAAGGAAAAAAACAACTGGTCCCACGCTGACACATTGACAGCCACGACATAGAATGCTGTGCAGTTCAGTACCCAATTGCAACACAGTTGATAGATAAACCCAACCCAGGGAGAACATAGCTCAGATGCTAAGAAAGGGCAGCAAAAGACCATGTACACTTTTAGGTCACAAGGGGAATGCTGGTGAGAGAGGCAGTTTGCACAAAACAACTTGGCCTTCCTAACTTCCACACTTTTCCAGCTGCCTGAAAAGGTCTCTGCCTTAGTTCAGTTTGTATTACTTTAAAACCTATGTATGACTGTTTTTTGTACTGTTCAAAAAACTATTTTAGCTGTTTTTATATGTCTGTTACCACCTCAAGACATGTATGTAAAAGGTGATTTCTGAATAATAATAATAAAGTCTATCTGAACTTTGCCTTGGAACTCCAAACACTCCGGTGGGGCTCAAGCTACCTCCTCTGGAAGCCTCTGGAAGCTGCTGCTGCCTACTAGTGTTTGTGGAACCCATTGGCAAAAGGAATGTTCCCTTCCTGGATGGATCTTGAAATCTCACCCCAGGGAAGGCTGTGTGTGTGGTTTGCACATTCCCCTGTGTCCAGGAAGTATTGTGTGCTGTGTGTCTTTCTCTTCTTCCTCCCTTTTCAGATGTTATGCAAGCCAGAAGGAAGGCCTGGGGACTGTCGGTGTTATTTATATTTATTTTGGCGGGTTTTGTACCACTTAATCAGATTGCCAGAAATCATACAGTGGATAAAACCGAAAGCTTACTTAAAATGCCTGCTGATAATTGCTGATAATTTTGGGGTTGCCAGGGACAGGTCTTTCAGCCATCAAATACCCAAATTGAAACAGGAGTATTTTAAAAAAAATCCTAAAAGCTGATGATGAAGGAGATTGACACCCCATTAGGGAGGACGTTACACAATTGGGGAGCCACCACCAATAAGGCCCTGTCACAGGTCACCACCAGCTGGGATGCTTCCTTTGTGTGAGTTGAGTTTGCATAGTGGGGTGAGGTGGAGTAATGGAGTTGATCACCTGGCCCTTCCAACATTTCTCCCAAAGTGGACTGCAATGTGTCTATAGGTTCCTGACTCCTGCTATCCCATTTGCCCCCTTCCAGGAATGTGAAAGCAATCCATGCTGTGAGCCAAATTGTCTGTTGAGAAGAGGGAAAGCCTGTGCCCATGGTGATTGTTGCTGGTCGAGGTATTGCAGGGTAAGCTAGCTCAAGCCCCATGCCCTCTTAGAGATGCCAGAGAATTCTGACAGAATCATCCATGTTCACTTGTTTGTGCCGTGTCCAGAATGGAAATCAGTCCAATGTTCACTGTTACTGTTGCTTTCGATTCACAAAACTGTTTACACCTCCTCCCCACTGTTTGTGTTTTGTTTCTTTTGCATTGGAATGAATGGGGTTGTAAAGACAGCAAAGTTTGTGTAATTATTGGCCCATTTAGCTCAATCTTGTCTTCAGTGACCGGCAGGCACTCTCCAGGGTTTCAGACAGGGGACAGTCTCAGCCCTACCTGGAGATACTGAGGATTGAACCTGAGACCTTTTGTGTTCAAGCTATTCCCCAAAGCAGGGTTGTAGGATGGTGAGGGATGCAGAACAAATTTTGAATATGGAGGCAAGCTCAACAAATCTGAAGGAAACCAATGAGATATATAAAGCCCACAAGCAGCCTCCAGAGGGCCTTTGCTGAGGAATAGGATCCATGATTAAGAAGCAGAATTAAGAAGCAGGAGACAGTGGATAGAGAGTTTCTCTTTCATAATGCTAGAACGTGGAATCACCCAGGTGGATTGTTTCTTTGATGGAGTTGTAATACAGCGAGATGGTCATACTACTGATGTATGGAAGGGATCAGATTTCTTGTTTTATGTAATTTCAGTCTATTCAGTGGGTATTGTTATTCATACAAATCTGTGTTATGTATTTTAAGGGTGTGAACAAAACATATTTGAAAGAACAGTAGGCTTAAACAGTCCATCATTAGGGAGCAGGCTGGACTCCCTTCTCCTTGGTCACATGAATGTGAAGCTGGGGTGTGGCACTATTTCATTAGCCAAATATAAAGGTAAAGGTAAAGGACCCCTGACAATTAAGTCCAGTCACGAACGACTCTGGGGTTGTGGCGCTCATCTCGCTTTACTGGCTGAGGGAGCCGGTGTTTGTCCACAGACAGTTTTTCCAGGTCATGTGGCCAGCATGACTAAGCTGCTTCTGGTGCAATGGAACACCAAAACCAGAGCAGCACACGGAAACACCATTTACTTTCCCGCTGGAGCGGTACCTATTTATCTACTTGCACTGCATGCTTTCGAACTGCTCGCTGCTATTTCTAGGGATTGTTTTGTGGATTTTACAAAATTGCATGCTTTTGTTTTAATGTGTTCCTTTACCTGTGCTTATGCTCTTGAGAACTGTTCTAAGTTGCAAGGAAACGTTTTGTGTGCTTTCACTGAGCAGCTGACAAGTTCTATTACTATTACAATTATTAGCAGAAACAACAAAAACAACCCTGTTTCCCACCCCTGCACCACTTCATAGAGTGCTGGAAACAATGCTGATGTGATGGCAGGACCCTCCCCCCAGTCTTGACCACACATTATCAAGGAGAAGGTAGCATCCACACAAAGCAGAGTTTGAGGTCTAAGTATGTGCCAAAATGCCTGCAGAGATCAATGTCTCAGAGGCCTGAAATGCAACTCAGAGCTTTTCTTTCTCTTTTCTTCCTGCCAGTTGAAAGCAAAAGGCACATTATGCAGAGGCACTAAAGATGAATACTGTGATCTGAAGGAATACTGCAATGGTACCTCTGCTGAGTGCACAGAGAATTTTTATGTCCAGGATGGACAGAATTGTGAGGGGGAGACAGGGATTTGCATGGAAGGAACATGCCAAAGTGCAGATTTGTGGTGCCGCAAAGTATTTGGAAAAGGTAACTGAAAGCAGTTCTTTCTCTCATCTCTCCCTTCTGAACAGCCCTTCTCTCTTTCCTTCTCTGTCCTTCATTCCCCACACCTCACCCAGTATTCAGACTAGTAGATTTTGATTTTTAATCCGGCAGATTTCAAGAGATGCAGCAGTCTTCTTGAAGCTGCTGTGTACATTACTCATGCATCCCTTTTCAGGGACTGGCAGGGGTAGCAAAGAGTGTTCTGAGGTGTCTGACAGGCCATTACAGAGCATTATGTCCCCAATCTGCAGCCTCAGGAAAGAGAGCAATGAGATTGCGGGGCCTCTCTGTCTGCTTATCTGAAAGACCCAACAGGTTTGGTTCCTCCCCACTGAATCATTCCATTCTAGCTACCGTATTTTTCCATCTATAAGACGGCCCCATGTATAAGACGTACCCATGTATATTTTTGGGGACTCAGATTTAAGAAAAATGGGGGGAGATGGCCCAGAGTATAAGACGCCCCATAATTTTTGACTTTTTTTAAGGGGAAAAACCTAGTCTTATACATGGAAAAATACGGTAATCATTAGAATAATGTTGTAAGTTCTAAGAACTAGTACCTGAGCTTTCTTCCCCTCCACTTCCCTCTCAATCCCTTTTTCCTTTTGCCTTTTAGATTGTAAGTCTGAGAGCAGGAACCATCTTATCAATGATATTTCTGTGCCATTCTCGAAACCTTTTGTTGTTGCTGCTGCCACTGCTGCTAAAGAATAGGATGAAAATGCTTCATATCAATAAATAATAATTCTGATCTATATTGCAGATTCAAAAAGTGGATCATCTCAGTGTTATGAGGAAATCAACAGTCAAAAGGACAGGATGGGACATTGTGGTTCCTCTGCCAAAGGATATGAGAACTGTCAGTGGCAGTACGTTTTGAACAAAAATGGAAATTGTGTGATGAGAAGGTCACATTCCTACCACTAAGAGCATTTATGGAATACAGCCCAAAGCAGCGGTGTTTGTGCAGCAGGAAGTTTTACAGGGTGGATATACAGGGTACAATTTATTCTGTCACACACCTGCACCTGATGTGTGCTAAAACTCATTTGAATCAGCATCACTTGACAGCATGATACAAAGGCCATAGTCCAGGCAAACAAGAGATGTGGTAAAACTACTAGAAATATGGCTCCCTCTTTCATGCAAAAGCCACAAATTTGGTTAAACTACTGTTATAAAGTGCCTGAGTTCTGTTCGACATAACTGGCAATCTGGTGTGTTCTAGTCCAGGACCAAAATAGCCTTCTCCTCAGCAGTTTTATGAGGAGCAGATTAGAACAGGTGTGAAAAAACTTTGGCCTTCCAGTTGCTGCTGCAATACAATGCAGCAGCATTGGCCATTAACCATGTAGGCTGGAGCTGATTGCTGCTGTAGTACAGCAACATCTGGAGAGCCAAATGTACCCCACACCTGGACTGGAACAACCAGCATACCAAATGGTTACACAACCTTTCCGAATCTGGTGTCCTCCATGTGTTTTGGATTGCACCTCCTATCATTTCCAGCCAATCCTGTGATGCTTGGGCTGATGGGAATTGTAGTCCAAAGCATCACCATATGGCTTTGCTGGCCTGTGTGCTGCTTATTGGCAGCATATTTCCAGGTCAATTCTAATAGAATCGTAGGGTCATGGAATTGTGGAGTTGGAAGGGTCCCAAGGTTAATCTAGCCCCCTGCAATGCAAGAATCTCAGCTAAAGCATCTGTACAGTTGGCCATCCAACCTCTGCTTAAAAACCTCCAAGTTCACAACCTCCCAAAGGAACTTCCAAAGTTCCACTGTCTTATCAGTTCTCACTGTAAGAAGGTTTTCCCTGGTGTTTCGTTGGAATCTCCTCTCTTGTAACTTGAATCTTATCCTCCAGAGCAGGAGAAAACAAGCTTGTTCCCTCTTCCATGTGACAGCCTTGAGATGTTTGAAGATGGCTATCATATCTCCTCTCAGTCTCCTCTGTTCCAGGCTAAACATACACAGCTCCTTCAACCATTCCTTATTAGGCTTGGTTTGAGCTATGCTCATGCAATTCCCTTTTTCAGGAATTCTGGCAATGAACCAAAACTTTACCTGTAGGTGCTCCAATAGCTGTGTTATGGGAGATTCATTCTTCTAGGCATCTGATATCACCTGTGAGTCCTCCCACACACCCATGCTTCTTTTGCAGGGACCTCAAGTGTGGCAAGCTGGTGTGTGAATATCCAGGTAAAAAGCCTTATGCTATCGAAAATGCAGCGATAATTTATGCAAAGGTGCAGAATCGCTTGTGTGTCACTTTGGACTACATGAAAGGGCCGGGAGTGAAGGACCCATTCTTGGTTCGTGATGGCTCCATCTGTGGGGATAATAAGGTAAGGATCTGAAGCATGGATTCTGAAGCAGTCCCAACAGGTTTGATTTCTGGTCTGGATAGTGCAGTTCTGTTGGTGTGGACAAATTGCCAGGAATGTTGGGGTCTCTATCCTGCAAAAGTGAACTGGAGCAAACAACTGCTCTGGGATGTGGTGCAGCAAGGCAATGGGATGTGCATTAGCAAGGGTCTGGTATATTCAGTGGCGTGCTGTCTCTCCATGTTGCCACTGGCTAGATCTGTCCATGAATTTGTTCAATCCCTTTTAAAGTCATCAAAGCTACACACACACACACACATTTTCAAGTTTTCTATTTTTTATCACACAACATACTTTTTTATCATGCATTGTACAGACTTCCCAACCTATCACTATATGATATACCCCTGTACCCCTCATGGGGTTACAATTCCCAGAGTTTTCTGGAAAGAGGGATTGACTGTTACATTGTTCTGGAAATTATAGCTCTGGAGTGGGAGGCGTAGAGATCTCTTAACAACTCTCAGCACCCTTAACAAAACTACAGCTCCCAGAATTCTTCCGGTTTGTAAACTTTGCCCCGGAAGCCGAATGTGCTCCCGAGCTTCCGTTTTTCCTGTTGTGCAGCAAATCTGAGTCTCCCGCATAGTAATTAAGCCTTTCCCCTCCCGCTTCTGCCCTTGCACGGCTCGTTTGCATCCCCCCATTTTAATTTAAGCCTTTCCCCTCCCACTTCTGCCCTTGCGCTGCTCATCTGAGTCCCCGTCCCTCCCCCCCGTCATAATTAAAGCCTTCTGTTTCTGATTGCAGTGTTCTGAGGTGATACTTGGTGCTTTTGTTTTTGCTATTTTTTGCGTTTGTGTTTGCATGACTTTTTCATTTTAGTGACTGTGGCTTGTTTTTCGTTTTATGGCTACCATCAGTGCAGGTAAGGAAAAAATAATTATTTTAATTTTTATCATCTACAATACTGTCTTATTTATAGTACAGAACATTGATTACTGCTTTCATTTTATGGATCAGTGGTCTACTTAGATAGTAAAATTCATGTTAAATTGCTGTTTTAGAGGTTGCTTTTCATAGTCTGGAACGGATTAATCCATTTTCCATTACTTTCTATGGGAAAGCACGCTTTGGTTTAAGAACGGACTTCCAGAACAGATTAAGTTTGTAAACCGAGGTACCACTGTATTGATATGCATTTATGCTGTTCTGTTCTGAGCCACTTTGGGCACATTTATGTAGGAAAGCAGCATACAAATAGAAGTAATAAATGCATATTACCTGTTAAAATTGAGATGATAGGGGTATATGGAAAAGGTGTACAATCCCCCTCTTTCCCTCTGCATGCAATCTGTCTCCCCTCCAGTCTCCTCTGTCAGTTACTTAGGTATGTATGTGTGTCCAGCCTCAAAGGGCAAAGGTCTCTCATGGCTATTATTCCATCTGGCTGCGTCTTTGCCTGAAGTGGTCCCAATTTTATTTTTTAGGTTTGCATGACCCAGAAGTGTGTGGATAGGTCTATATTAAAAACAACTTGTGATCCAGTGAAAAAGTGCAACAGGAAAGGAGTGAGTAAAAGCAACATTTTTTTTCTAATAGTATCAGATATGTGGCATATTGCTTTGCAAATATGTTTAGCAGTCATCCCCTCTCCAGGGATACGTGGGAAAGGCAGTTTTTCAAGGAGCAGCTTAGGAGAAGCTCCTTTTATTCAATTTATGCATCTCTTTACTCAGCCAGAATGAGACAAGTTTTTTTTTTTTCATGCATAATTTTTATTGGTTTACCAAAAATCGAAACACAAAACAAACTATATCAGTACTCTTATTGTTTCACAAAAAGGAAGGGATAAGACTTCCTTCTGCCATTCCACGAATCGTCCATAGTAACAATATACAATAAGTCCGCATTTCTTTGTTTGTAATGCCGTAAGTCATTCTCGTTCGTCCGTTTTCCTTTGGCATTACCCTTTACTTCTTACAGAGCACCTTTGAAACCCGCTAGTGTTATCTGTTCATCGGTTAAGCTTTCCAGATATTTCGTAAAACTTTCCCAATTTTTAACAAACCTCTGATCTTTTATATATCTGATTTTACCTGTCATCCTGTCCATCTCCACCAGAATGAGACAAGTTACAGGGATAGCAACATATAAAATAATATAAAGATAGAATAAGAATCCTGTTATCAATGCTGGTGGGCAGATACCTATAACATTTTTTTAAAAAAGATTGATCTAGTGTTTTCCCATCACACCTGCTAACCTTTGGCTTTCAAAATTCTGACATCTGGGTAGAATCAGTGGTGTAACCTAGGACAGGTCAAGGGGTGGAGCCGGGAGTCTAATGACCTCTAGTACGGTATTCTTGAACCGTGAGTTGTTACGTGGTCTGTGTTTGCCTTAGCTTGAGTCTGAGCTCCTGTGTTCTGATTCGATACATGATGTCCAATCACAGAACATTTCAGGATTTGGGCCGCTGCCATTGCCCCTTGAATTCTGAGTCGTGATTCGCAGCTTGGAAGTTTAGACAGCCAATCACGTTGGGAGTGGGAGTGGCCCAGGTTTCCAGAAATGTATATAAGCAATTGCTTTGCTTCTGTTTCCCAGTTATGTAGTTCAATAAAGGTTCTTGCTGTTATCACTGTGTCTTGCCTCGTGGCAACCCACCTACACTTCACTGGCGACGGAGGTGGGATGTTAGGCTAGGTATACAGCCCTGGCTAGCTTCCACGAGCTGAAATCACTGCTGGAGACCTTTCGCCTGAGCTGAGCTGAAATCACTGACTGCAGCCACAAGGCAGATCACACAGAGCGAATATCATTGCCACCCATGGCCGCATTGAGGAATTTGACACCACGGTTACAGGGAAATGGGGCTCCTACGCCACCCGGCTTGAGTTCTTCCTCATAGCCAATAAGGTGACTGTCCCCGAACTGAAGTGGGCTATGCTGTTCAGTGTGTGGGCCTGCTACATTTGAGATTGCCCAGGCTCTGGTGTCCCCGGCCAAGCTAAACAATACATTTGATGCAATAATGCTGAGGCTGAAGATTGCCTGCTGGTATGCCTTCTACAAATGAGACCAGGCCTCAGGTGAATCCATTGTGGCCTTTGTTGCAGCTTTGCAGCAGGCCACCTGCCACTGCAACTTCAGTGACCTGGAGACAATGTTCTGTGACCGTATTGTGTCTGAAGCTACAGCGGCACCTTCCAGGTTGCCTTAGATGAGGCCCTGACAGCAGAGACAGCTGACAAAACAGCGAGAGAGACTCGCCAAGTGCACAGCCCACCCATGGCACGGAAGGCTGAGGCTGTGCATTCTGAGGAGATTGTGGACAGTGAGGAAGACGAGGAGGTCCTGAGACTGCTCCTTGACTTGTCCAAGCGTTTTGACCAACAGGGGTGCCTTGCACCAGTTGTGGGGGCCTGCATGAACGCCGATCATGCTGTTTCCACGACGCCCAGTATCGGCCATATTGCACACACCTGCCAAATGAAGGAGCAGCACATACCTCCAGCACACACACCAGCAACCAATGTTAGGGACTGGGGAGGGTCGTCGTCGGATTTCACGTGTGGAAGAATGCCACACCATCACAAACTGTGCCTGCACAATGAGGCCAGCTGCCATGTCTATTCAGAGTGTGCAGCAGCCAACCTGTGACTTCTCAAGTCTCCAGGGGGTCCCATTCAAAATGGAGGTTGACTTCGGGTCAGTGCTCTCAATTATTTCTGTGGAGACATACCGTCGCATCTGCCAGAAGGGAAAAAAACTGCAACCGTTTGAGGTGTGTGCCTGTTTGGGGCATCACACATTCACAGTCAAGTTCAAGCATTTTAACAGACCCCTGCAGCTGGTGGTTGTTGATGGCCACCTCACCAGCCTCCTTGGCCTCAACTGGTTCGATGCACTGGGCATCCATGTCACCAGGGTGCAGCACATCAGCCAGTTCAGCTACGAGGCCATCTGTGATGAGTTTGCAGCTGTGTTTCATGGGGTGTTGGGGTGCAACAAGGGCCCACCAGTTGCACTGAGTCTCAACCTGGCTGTTGTACCAATTCACATGAAGGCTCAGTGGGTGCCATTTGCCCTGAATCCCAAGATTGATGCAGAGCTGGATCATTTCATTGAACAATGGATCCTTGAGCCAGTCCCGCATGCTCGATGGGAGACCCCAATTGTCACTCCCCTTAAGGCAAATGGGGATGTGAGGATCTGTGCTGACTACAAGTTCACCCTCAACAAGGCACTCCTGTTCCAGTTGTGAGTCACTGCCTTGCATTGCTTGCTGGTGGAAAAGTCTTTGCAAAGCTCAACTCGGCCCAGGTATAGCAACTCCCAGTCAATGAGGCACAAACAATCATGACCCTTGTCAAGAGACTACAGTTTGGTGTCAGTGTGCCCCCAGGCCTCTTTCAAAACTTCATGGAAGATGTCCTGAAGGACCTCCCGGGCATCATTCCTTATTTCGATGACTTCCTCATTGCAGGGGAGTCCGAGGCAGAGCTTGCGGCCCATCTGTGAGAGGTCCTGCAACGTTTCCAAGACGCTGGTCTTAAAGTGAAGAAAGAAAAATGCCAGCTGGGGGGGCCCAAGGTTGAGTTCCTCGGGTTCCTGATTGGTGCTCACGGCATCCATCCCACACTGGCAAAGGTCAAGGCCATCCAATGCTCTCCACCACTACGCTAAAAATAAGAGCTGCGGTCCTTCCTGGGCCTGTTGAATCATAGAATCATAGAATCATAGAGTTGGAATAGACCACAAGGTTGAACTTCTACCACTCCTTTCTTTCACACAAAGCAGCAATTGCGGAGCCCCTGCACCAGCTATTGAACAAGAAATACCCTTGGAAATGAGACCATGCTCAGGACACAGCTTTCAAACACCTGCTCTCCTCTGACAGTGTCCTTACCCATTTTGATGAGACCAAGCCCGCTGTGCTTGCCTGTGATACTTCCCCCATATGGAATTGGTGTGGTCTGCAGCCGTCAGTTGCCAGATGGGCAGGAGGCCCCCATAGCATTCTGCTCCAGGACCTTGTCATCTACAGAACGCAATTATACCCAGATTGACAAAGAGGCCCTGGCTACCATGGCAGGAGTGAAGAAGTTCCATGACTACATCTATGGCCGCCACTTCACGATCATGACTGACCACAAAGCTCTGCTGGGCCTTTTTGTTCCTGATCGGCAGACTCCCCCAATCCTGTCTCCGAGGATGCTAAGGTGGTCCTTCTTTCTCAGCGCATATGACTACGTGCTGCACCACCGTCCTGGTAAGAAACTGGACCACGCAGATTACCTAATCTGCCTGCCATTGCCAGACATTGACACCGACTCATCTCCAGCCCATGGTGTGATGCTGCTGGAGACTCTGCCTCAGTCACCGCTCCATGCCACAGATGTTGCCACACACTTAGCAATCCTCAACTGGGTGTGGAGGGGGTGGCCAGCGGGTCACCTTGATGCAGAGTTCTCCCTATTCATCTCCCAGCAATATGAACTGTCAGTCAGCAAGGGATGCCTGTTATGGGCTGATGCCTGATGGATTCAAGGGCATCCTGATCAAATTTGCAGATGACACCAAACTGGGAGGGGTGGCCAACACCCCAGAGGACAGGATCACACTTCAAAACGACCTTGACAGATTAGAGAACTGGGCCAAAACAAACAAGATGAACTTTAACAGGGAGAAATGTAAAGTATTGCACTTGGGCAAAAAAAATGAGAGGCACAAATACAAGATGGGGGACACCTGGCTTGAGAGCAGTACATGTGAAAAGGATCTAGGAGTCTTGGTTGACCACAAACTTGACATGAGCCAACAGTGTGACGCGGCAGCTAAAAAGCCAATGCAATTCTGGGCTGCATCAATAGGAGTATAGCATCTAGATCAAGGGAAGTAATAGTGCCACTGTATTCTGCTCTGGTCAAACCTCACCTGGAGTACTGTGTCCAGTTCTGGGCACCACAGTTCAAGAAGGACATTGACAAACTGGAACGTGTCCAGAGGAGGGCAACCAAAATGGTCAAAGGCCTGGAAACGATGCCTTATGAGGAACAGCTAAGGGAGCTGGGCATGTTTAGCCTGGAGAAGAGGAGGTTAAGGGGTGATATGATAGCCATGTTCAAATATATAAAAGGATGTCACATAGAGGAGGGAGAAAGGTTGTTTTCTGCTGCTCCAGAGAAGCGGACACGGAGCAATGGATCCAAACTACAAGAAAGAAGATTCCACCTAAACATTAGGAAGAACTTCCTGACAGTAAGAGCTGTTCAACACTGGAATTTGCTGCCAAGGAGTGTGGTGGAGTCTCCTTCTTTGGAGGTCTTTAAGCAGAGGCTTGACAACCATATGTCAGGAGTGCTCTGATGGTGTTTCCTGCTTGGCAGGGGGTTGGACTCGATGGCCCTTGTGGTCTATTCCAACTCTATGATTCTATGGGGAAACTGCCATTCATCACCTGGCCCAGGGCGGGGCCTGACAGGCCTCATAAGGACGGTTGCTGCTGCTGCTGCTGCTGCCGCCGCCCAGGACTCCCCTGCTTGAGTGCCTGAGGGTCCCGTTC